TCAAGCAAGCTCTTTCGTGAACTCTCGCCTTGGTCTGGGAACTCTTAGCGCAAAACCCGCTTAGACGATAAAGAACGCATGCTAGCAAGAATCGAAACTCAGGTAAAATCCTCTACCGATCGATATAACTTTACAAACCCAACGCAATATCAAATTTTGCTAGGGCTTGGGGGGCTTATGTTACTATGGGCTCATAGCCGACCGATCGGTAAAATCAGCCCGACCGATGATACTCCTCAGAATAGTGAATTGATCGGTTAGATCAGCCGTTAAGGTAATTAATAGTAATAACTATCGGGGAGTTAATGAGGATAATTATCATTTATTGACAATTAGTTGACAATTAATAGTCATTCATTGGTGGTTAATGAGTTAGACCCAACGGTAAGCTCATTATAATTTATAAATATATTTCTGGCAAAGGAGACAGGTAACTTAACTGAACTTGAACTGAAAGCTTAGGGCTCTGATAACTAAATCTTGATTACAAGATTATTACGCAAAGTCACTGACTTGAGCGTCGGAGTGTCTTTTGCAGGCACCCTCCCCCGCGGCTTGGACAAGGAGAAGAGGGAAGACAGCACAACTGGACATCGGAACAGACAACTTTGAATGTCTTGGATTAGGGTTCTAAATCCTGCCGAAACACTATGTATCTTTATTTTCATTTATAATATTTATTAATTAATATTATTGTTTCCACTGGATTGGGACTAGGATGAATCCTACTCACTTTTCTTATCTGGACGAACTTTACTTTTTCATTGTTTTGGACGATCGATTAGTTTGAAGAGGAGTGACTTGCAGAAAATACTCTTACGCTCAACTTTTTTCTAATGGTCTAAAGTAATCAAATTATCAAGTATGAGAGTGTCTTCTACCCCTTCAAACTTATCAGTCGTTCAAAATAATTAGAGGAACAAACGTTCGTTAAAAAAATAATATGATCCATCTCATCCCAATCGAGTAGAAACATTTATTAAAAAAAATAATATAAAATTGATTTTTATTATATGTAATTTGATTATACTAAACCGATGTGAAATATGACATTTTCTCAAAATCTTCCTTTTTCATGGCTTATAACCAAGTAAAAATGAACATGAAAGTTCACACAAATCCATCCCCACTAATTTATCATAAGAGTAAATTATAACAAATCAACCCATTCTAAATGTAAAACAAACATTTGGCTACTGAATGAAGATTCAAATTTCAAATTTTGAATCTAAACTATTACCAACTTTTACAGTAAAAAGTTTACCGACAGCTGGGAAACTTATGTGAAAAAAAAAACTGTAAAAATGATTTAGACAGAAAGAGTGAAACAAAGGATCTTGGAAAGGAAACCGTCCAAAACTTGCTTTAATCGGCTTGATAGAAAACAAAACCAATAAATTTTTAGAGAGAAAAAGAGGAGAACTAGAGTAACATTATAAACATTCCGTGTAAGAAATATATGAAAACATGTTTTCCAAATGTAGTGGGACGTGATAGAAGGTTATATTTAGAAATGTCAAATTCTAGAATGTATGAAGTTTTGTGACGTGTAAGAAAAATACACGGCCAAATATCCAATTTTTAAGTGTGTTTTGATTTTCACTTTTAGTTAATTTTGTGTTATTTTGAAGATTGTGTTTGGTTGACTTTAATTTTGTTTTATTATGGTTTAAAGTGTATATCCTATAAATTAGAAACATAATATGTCATTGTTTACTCTTGGCAAGATGCCGTTATTTTATACCCTTGTACGCGACTATGATTACGAAAATTTTGAGATGTAAGATCGGCTATCGAGGGCAGCGGCGTGGCGGCGGAAGGCACTGTGTTGCGGCCTTTTCTCCGTCCAGAATTTGCTCAGAGAACTTTCTAATCGACCTTTGAATTTTCGTCTGGATTTACTTTCACTTCTCAATTCCGCTTCTCTGCTAAGCACTCATTTGATTTTCGAGTTTCTCAAGCGATTAATCCTAAGCCTCTAAAACCCTAACTAGCAATAATGGATGCATCGCCCCCCGACAATGCCGTCGACTACTCACCTTCTTCAACCGTTATCGAATTCGACCGCCCCGTTCCTTTACTTCGGGGACCATTACTGGCGGGTCCCTCCGTCGAGCCGTCGGCTGGACCGTACGTGCTCGCCTTTAGGGATTCGCGCGCGTGGGCGTCTTCGTTCGTTGCCTGTGAGCGCAAAATTGTTGAGCAGTGCGAGGAGGGGGCGAGGATCGGATGCGCCGTGAGCGCTTCCAGGAACTGTAAGCCTACGTGGTGGAAGGCTCTGGCGGGCCTCACACTTCACGATCTGAAGGAACGGGAGGAGTGCGAAGTGCGGGAGATGGCGGATTGTTTCGCCGTGGCTAAGGAGAAATGTGCTGGCTTTGCCAGGGAGAAGTGTTTGGTTCCCTTTAGGGATGCGAGGATTAGGGTTGCGAAAGGGGTTTTGAGTCCCAAGGGTGTTGGCAAGTTGATTGGTTGGGGATCGATGCCTGTGAGTGGGAGGAGCACGTGGTTGATGAATCAAATGGGTCTGATTAGTGGTGATTTGGGAATAACGAATTGCAAGGCTAGCGAGTTGCTGGGATTTGATGATTATGTGCAATGCATTTTGGGTGAACGAGAACAAGGCACCGAAAACTAATTTTGTCCTCTGATACCGGAGGTAGAGTTTTGAAACCCAAATACTTGTGTTTATATTTCTGGGTTCTGGACTAGACAGTTGGTCTGTCAGGTAGACTAAAGTAGTTCCTATGCAAAGTTTATTGGTTAAAGAGGGCAGTAGAGGACGAATTTTATTTATAGTTCCCTGGTTTCTTTTAGTGTTATACTCCAATTAGAATTGGAATATTTCATGCGTATTTCATGGCTAGTTTATGTTGGCTTTAATACAAACCTTTAATAAATGGATTACAGAGGTGAAATTTCACTTGATTAGAGAACACTACGAAGAAAACCTGAACTACATCTAAGTTTTATCCTTCAAGAAATCTCTCCTTTGAACTGGGTGGACGTGTTGTGCATAGCTATGTTTGGTCTAGTATACGAGATACGATGGAATTTTGTATTCATACGTTTAGGCTGTCAGTCTCAAGGAAAATTGGAAACATAAGAATCTAGGGTCTCCATACTTGGGTGTTCTTTGTTGAATCTTATACTTTGATGTGAAAATTTTGTATGGACCATCATTGTTTGTACTAGGAGAAAGGAGGAACGTTCTGCCTATATGCATTTTTAAAAAATAAGTGGATGGTTTTCAGAATGTGGATAAAGATATGACTGGTGTATAGAAACTGTATTAACAGACGACTATCCACCATTTTTTAGCATTGGTATGTTATGCCTGCTTGAAAATGTCAGCTGTGTTGGTGGAGACTGGAGTGTTTTGATGCTGCACACAATAAATATATAATAACATAATGTTGATTGTGCATAACTTTAAATAATTGTTGTCTCGAAGAATAATTTTGAAAAGCCGGTGGCATAACAGTAACTCATTCCTTCTTTGTTTGGTGCAGAGGTTATAAAAAATGTCATCTCATAACGAATCAAGTATCCAGGTTTTACTTGACTCTAACTTTTGAATTATGTTCTGATTGTCATTTTTATTAGTAAGTTACAACATTTTTATTAGTAGGTTAGAAAGGGTTCAGACTTGTGTAGTTGCATGGCATGATAGCATAAAAAATAACTGCAGTTACTGCAGTCCGATGTATATGAACGTATCATAAGGTAAAATAATTTGAGGGGTTGTGCTGGAGTCTAATTGAATTGAATCTGAAAATTATATCCATTAAGTATTATATGTTGTTGCTTTTTTTTGTTTGGCGTACTTTTTTCCCTTGTTCTACAGAAGCCAGACTTCCATGTGCTGCTTACTTTTCTAATATGTATTTATTTGCCTTCTATTGCATGGCTGGTTGGTTGCTAGTGTTCAAGGGTTATAAAAGTAATATTTACAATTTATTCACTTTGAGGTCTACTAAACAGACCAGGCGGATTAAAGGTTATAATTCGAGTCTTCATATTTAGATCATGTTTGATTGAGTTTGGGATCAAGTTTCTTTGTAAGTTTAGTACATGTTCTTTCTTTATTAGCTTTACTAGTGTCATTGGTTGAGAGTTCGGACATTATGAGAAGTGTGATACATTACATTTCAGATTTCTTAATTATTGACGCACCAGTACTTACTGTGGTTTTCCATTCTCCGTGCATCTGTATGGTAATTTTAATTCAGAAGTTAAACAAATTGTGTTTCCTTTTAGCCAATAAAGAATAGCTCAAGTAACAGGGGAGAAATGGGTTTGGGTTAGAAGTCATTGGTATATTCTTGGATGTAAACCAATGATGCTTCCTGTTATGGGAAGGGAGCTAGTGATAAGAACTTGGGCATGGTGGAGTATCTAAGTGTTTGATTCTTCCCCTTAATATTTAGCTTTTGAGGGTGGGTTCCCCTAATGCTTGGGTACTTGTTATTTGGTGTCAGTGCTGATTGTTGATGTCTTAGAAATGGCTACCCATGAAGGGTTCTAACCAACGAGGGAGTTGAGTGAAGTGTTGTAGAGTGAAAACTGTAGAGGTTGACTCTTATGACGGTACTAGGATAGAAACTTTGCATTATAGGATGCCCAAGTCCTACATTGAGTAATGTGAAATGCTCAAACGAGTATTTAGGTGTTTGGTTCTCACTCCTTAATAGCTAGCTTTTTACGTGATGGGTTCACTTGGATAGAAGTCTTGATGTTTTCTTTTACCTTGGATTTTATGGGCCAAACTTCTTTTGCCTGTTTGGAATGCTACTGTAGAAGGCAAGAATAAAGTTTAAAGATTTCGCAATAGTGAAGTGTTGTAGAGTGAAGGTGTTTAACTCTTAGAATGGTGCTATGATAGGAACTCGGGTACCCACATTAAATATGAGATGCTTGATGTATTTAAGTGTTTGGTTCTCCCTCTCAGTAGTTAGGTTTTGAGTGAGTTCCCCAATTACTTGGGTACTTTTCAGCTGGTGATAGATGTGTCGAAGTCTTCTTTTAACCTGGAGTTTATGGGCCAAATATCTTTTTCCTGTCTTTGCGCACTACTGTAGAAGGCAAGAATAAAGTTTAAAGGTTTAGCAATTGCACTTGCCAAACGTGAATGTTGGAAATTTGGATATGCTTAGGGGCTTTGGGACCTATTTCTCTCGACTGTTCTCCATAAGCGCATCTCAACTCTCCTGTTGCAATTTAAAAATGGGGCATTTCAAATTGTTATTTTCCAATATCCTTGACATTATGGAGCCTTTGGTTTGTGAAATATTTTATCATATTAGGGAATTCATATGTGAGAATGTTTTATTCACATTTTCGGTAGAATAAGATAGATTTGCTTGTAAAAATTGTCTGAGAATGATTTATTAAATTACATACGGACTATATTGGAATTTTCATATTGTAACTTATCCCTTCCCTTTATCTTAGCTATCAAACAAGAGGACATACGAGAGTTCCCCTCTTTTATCCACTCAAGCATCCAAACAATAGAAAGTAACTCTTACCCCAAAAACTTTCAAACATAAATATCTTGATATTTTGTATATTTTTTTTCCTAGGCATCAAATTAAGATTTTGTCAAGTTTTGCTTATTGATGTAATGATTGTTGAGATTATGCACAGTTGTTTGTTGAGGCAACCAAAGAGGCCATTAAGCAAATTATTTTCGGATTTTCCTCTTGGATTGGTCCTTAAGATTGTAGTTTTAGCATTAGATAAGAATTGCCTAAAGGTACTGTTGCCATATCTGCGATGGTGAAATTACACCTCCCCGCTTTCCAATGAACAAATCCGGTGCCTCATAATAGGTTTTCTTTTTGTTTTCTCCCCTTCTTCCTTCCCTTTCTTTCTTTTTCTCTGCTTACCCTTCATTTCTACGGATGTGCCTCATCTCTTTTTTCTCTTCTTATTGTCAGTGAGGCTATTATTGTTCTTCTTATTACTCTATTTTTTCAAAATTTCAGAATTTAGTTCTGTTTTTCTGAACGTTCGATACAGAGTTTCAGAACCATGTTATTTTATGTTCTTTTATTAAACCACCTACAACGTTGTACCTCATTCTTTTCACTCATAGGACAATGTCAAGCACAAAAAATCAAATTATTTTGAGTTGAGATATCTTGGATTTCAGTCTATGATTTTTGTTTTTCTTAATATATTTTCTCTTTCTTCTTTTCAATTATTTTAGATATATATTGTTATTTTTATCTGCTATGACTTCTATTGGGCATCCGCCATATGTGTATGACAATGCTTTGGTTCTTGTCCCTGGGCGGTCTAATAATACTATTGATATAATAACGTAAGGTAAAGGTATAACTCAGTACACCTTGCTACCTTTATTCTCTGTTTTTTTGTGCTATCTTTGAAACAGAGGGAAGAGCGGAAAAGGAGAAAACGAAAGAGAAAGAAAATTGGGGGCTTCTCCTTTATCTCCAAGCCTTTTCCGTGTGCATTCAAACCAGATATTGAAATCCGGTAATTTTCTACACTAGATTTTTGAAATCCAGTGCGTTTTTTAAACTGAATTGAAATCCAGTGCGTTTTTTAAACTGAATTGAAATCCAGTGCATCCAAAGCATAATAAAAATAAATATATCAAAAGGAACAAATATAAAATTTCATGTAAAAAGCTTATGCTTGGAAGATGAGATGAAATGAAGAAGATGAAAGTGAACAAATAGGTTTTGTTTTCATAATGAAAGCAAGAGCCCACAACAAGCACCGCCACACATATATGAGAGCGAAGGAAGAATAATGATTAAGTGTGAAGAGTGACGACTTGGAGATGCATGGCAATATAGTTCGCAGTAAATATGATTCCGTAAACAATAATTATTAATTACCTAATATATATATATATATATATATATATATATATATATATATATATATATATATTTACTGAAGGGCACAAATGTTAACTTGGAAGTGTAGGGAGAAGGCTTGGAGGTGTCGGGAGAAGTCCTTAAGAAAGTATAATGAGTTTGTTTGGGTTTTGAGAGAAAAAGAGTAAAAGAAATTAATAAAAAAATTGTAGGTGTAAATGATGGGATACGAAAAAAATTAAAATTAGTTGTATAGATGAGAAATATGGAATGGTACAGTATTGAAAAATTCAGCCCAGAACGTAACCATGTCTCCAATATGTATTCAAATAATGCATTTATTTGTTTATTTTTTGTTTGCAAATCGAAACCAATACTCACAAAATTAAGAGAATGTTGCCTAGATAAATTTCTAGAATTCACATGCACTCCATCTTCCAACAAAAATGCCACAGTCTAACGCAACTCTAATAGAGAATAATAAAAAAATAATATGTGAAAACAAAATTCAATAAATAAAGGGAATTTAGGTCATGAATTGTTGAATACATCGTAGAGAAGGGTTGCCGTTTGAAAACATCTTCACCTCCACCAAGTGGCCATCTTTCGGTGTCGAAACCAGTCTCTCACCGGAGGCCAAACATCCCATCGAATTTCCTTTCTCTGAACCAACATGTTTCACTATGCTGATGTCGTAGGTTGAACCAACTAGTGTTGTCTTGTGGTCGCTGTCGTACAAAGTCGTTTTAAAACACTGATCTATTTTTTTTTTTTAAACCAGCGGAGCAACTTCATTCGAGTGCAATTAAAATTTTCTTTAAAAGTCGTAAACCTTCAATAAATATCATGATTCTGTCTAAAGGACGGGAAAAGCCGTAAAACACAAACATGCCACTTAGCATTCCATTCTCTTCATCACACTTACGAGGGGCAATTCTCCTTCAACCCCTCATCTTTCCCCAGTTGCATTTCTGCGTGAATTTGTTGAAACAACCAACAACAGTCTGCTTTTTTATGCGCAAACAATACATCAATGGATCAAAGCAGTGTTGGCTAACATGCCATCCATCAGTTATTGCATTTTTTTATTTCTAATATTATTTAACGGTCATTCATATAAAAGCTTTTTGGTACGAGGAATTGGTCCTACGGTCAAGGTAATAAAGTGCAAATAAAAAACATTAAGGATCTTTGGTCGGAATATAATAGGATGAATTCTAGCTATAATCATTCGTTTGGTGCACCAATACAATATGATTTCTCTATCTCAATGTTTATTCAATTTTGCTAGAGTAGTATATTTCTTATGCCGAATAGAGTTGGGTTAGAAGTCAATATATTTCTTCTATCGATGAGAGTTAGGTTAGAAGGCAATTGGATGAAAGAATTCATTTTCTTTCTATTTTTATACCACTCGCCTGCATTAGAAATACTATCACCGCATTTGTCACCGTTGTTCTTGCGCTCAACACTAACACTCTCATCACTACCCACGTTATAACAATCATGAATTCACTATATTTGTTGTCACCACCATCTTTACGTACAGCATTTCTATTATCTATTATTATTGTTGGAGATCTCACCTAGGTTATTATATAAGGGAGTGCAAAATTCATAAGGCAGTTTTTTTTGTCTTGACTAGGGATGAAATGGTTGTAATTTTGTAAATAATGTCGAAGAAAAATAAATGTTGTCTCACCCAAATTTTCTAAATAATTAACGACACTGTTGCAAAGCCTTAATGTGACATTGATTTGTAGTTTGTACATAATGTCGAGAAAAAATAAATATTCTGTTTTAATAAAATGTATATTTATTTACTCAATCTATATTCTTTTTGTATAGGATAAAGATTATTAATTATTTTTATCAATAATCGTGGTGAGTATTGCCTGAA